CAAGACACAGTTTTTCTTTCTGTGTGCCAGTGTTGAGTGTGTTGCCTGCATGTTTATTTATTTTTGTGAGATATTTCTTCTACTTCTTTTTTATTATGCAACATGTTTTGTGCAAATCAAACTTCTCTTATCTCCCAAATTCCACAATCTGAATTTTCTTTTGTCTAGTGCCACATTTGCTGTTTGGATTTTCAAGTGCTGTCAAGCCATTGATATGCTGCCATTATCAGATGTTATCACAATACAGTAGTCATTGTGGAAATTAAATTAATGAAGGCAAATTTAGGATGTTTCTTCTCACAGTCCAAAGACATGCAGCTTAGGTTGATTGGTGACTAAACTACCCGTAGGAGTGAGTGTGGGTGTGTGTGGTTGTCTGATTTTTAGTGTCAGCGCTGTGATAGACTGGCGACCTGTCCAGGGTGTATACCTCGCCTCTCGCCCGGTGTCATCTGGGATTGGCTCCAGGTCCCCCAACGACCCCATTCAGGAATAAGCAGTATAGACAATGGATGGATTGATGGACATTTAGGATGTTTAGGTAATGGAATCATTCTGACAATTGGATTGTCTCGACAGTAGTGCCACTCTGTCTCCCAGCTTTGCTTCAGCAGGGTTTTACAATAATGATACATACTATACATGCAGCTTTTAACTGGTACTAACAGATTACATTGCATGGAAATGGTCTGTTTTACCATACTTATTGCCTGGCAGGTAAAATTAGCATTTGTTGGGGCACCAGCGAAACGCATACAGGCACATTTCTTTTTTTCAGTTTTGATCAGAATGTGTGTGAAGATAGATTTACAGGATAAACTGAAAGGGAAAGGCTCATTTTTCTGGGCACAAGTAAATGATTGGATGTTAGATTATTGCTCTGAAGCAAAGTGTCAAACCTTTTATTCTTGTTTTTATGCCTCTGGACCAGTGATAGGTGTAGCTGGAGGCATTATGTTTTCAGGATGTCCATCCCAATCTCGTAAACATAATATCTTATGAATGCCTTGAGGGAATTTCTTCAACTTTGACACAAACATCCACTTGGACTCAAGGATTAACTGATGAGATTTTGGTGGTGAAAGGTCAAAGGTTACCATGACCTCATATTTGTCCCATTCCTTTAAATGTGACTGGTTGTCAGAGGCATAGAACCACGAAGCGGTAATTCTAGTTTATGTTTGCAAAGATCAGGGAGGGAGTGTGAAAGGGTGTCCTCCCTCATTGAGGCTGCCTGGAGCCAACCACCTTTTATTAGTTTTCTCTCACTTTTTTCATACATGCTGTTTTATACCCTATGTGAATGGAAAGGGTGGATAAAAGATCATTTGAGCTAAGCCAGTTAACACAGATATCTACCTGAGCTGATCAACCAAAGATGAAAGAATTGTCTGTTTTTGTGAATGAGAGAGAATAGCACTATAGTTTATCCATCCAGGAGCAAAGGGATTAAAAACAGCATTTCAATTTTTCCCACTGGGCACTGCTGAATGACAGCTTCCTCATCACATCATCATTTTCACCCACTGAACTGTCGGTCAGCAGCAGTCAAACACGGCAAAGGTCTCAACTTCGCAGGGATCAGTAACAACAGATTCATATCAGTGTACTGTATAATCACTGGAGACTGCTCAATTCAAAAGGATTTATCATTAACCAGGCCTTGTAACTAAACACGTGTATAATATTAAAGGGGCAGCATATTACTATACCAGGTTTATTCTGTATAGTAGATTCAAGTGTAAACTGGCATTAATGACAAGAAAAGACTTCAGTTCTTCATGTGGTCACTTTAAGGCAAGCAGCACAAACTAGGTGAGATAAAGAGATTACACTGCGGACACATTTGGAAAAGGGACCTATAGAGTATCTTCAGTGGCCTCAGAAAGTATTCAGACCTCTTCACTTTTTGCACACTTCATTCTGTTATAGATTTAATTTTAAATTGACACATTTTCCTATCAGTCTACACTTATAACCAGCTGTCCCTGATAGGCCAATGGTTAAGGCACAGCGTTCTCACAACTGCGGCCCAGGTCAGGGTCGCGTCAGGAAGGGCACCCAGTGTAAAACACGTGCCAAATGTCAACATGCGAGTTGTCAGTATGACGATTCGCTATGGCGACCCCTAAACAGGAAAAGCTGAAAGTGACTTTCTAGTCTACACTTCTAACCCATAATGATCAAATGAAAATATTTTTTGAAATGTTTGCAGTTTTATCAGATTATTAAAAGTAAAATCTATCTTTAAGACAAGTACTGGGTCCTTTTATTCAGTACTTTGTAGGAGCCCCTTTGGCAGCAGTGAAAGGTTCTAGACTTTTTTTGGGTAGGTCTTTATAAGTTTTGCACACCTGGATTTGGGCAGTGTCCTTGGACTTCATGGCTTAGCTTTTGTCTGGACATTATCCTTATACACAGGAATGGATGTTTCTAAAATATGTTCAATTCAGTTTGCTACAAGTGGAGTCCAGTCAGGTTCTAGACACATCTCAAGGATAATGAAAGCACAAAAGATGCAGCTGACCACAATTTAGTCACAGCAAATTACGTTTGTAAATGAGATTTCAGTTTCTGATATTTAATATATTTGCAAAAATTACTTTGAAAAAGGTTCAGTTTTTATTACTGTAGATTAGTAACAAAAAACAGCTATTTTATTCATTTAAACTTAAAATTACAAGATAATAAAGTTGGCAGAAAGACAAGGGGTCTTTTTTAACTCTTAATTTGCCTGACTGTCTTGTATAATCCTCTGTATGCTTTTCCAGTTTTATTACATCAATATATTGCAGTCTTTTGACTGTGTACCCTCATACCAGAATTTTAAAGTATATCCAATAAAGCACATACACTGAGCATAATTATCATGGGAGTGAGTTGTCAGGATTTAGAGATAACACCTTGGCACATACTGTAATTTATCAACCTACTATCCATTCGCCTTTGAAAAAATCTTTATAGCACACATAAATGGTTGTTCCTTTACATGTTTCTTCAGTCTCTCTCTCTCTCTCTCTCTCTCTCTCTCTCTCTCTCGCACTCTCTCTCTCACACACACACACACACACAGTGGCAGTTTGATTTCTGCCACCAATCAAGCTCCATTTTCCAACCAAATTATTTCTTTCTAATTTGCAGCTTCCAGTGGTCAACCCCCTGTAGTGCTGCCACTGAGCTGTGTGTGTGTGTGTGTGTATGTGCGCGCGCACATATATGCACATATGCTTTTGTGTCTGTGTATGAAGTACGGAACATTCTACAATAGATCTTAATTGAGAAGACGGACTGCAATCAGCACATTCTTTTAGGAAAATCATTAAATCATTTCCTCCTCCCCCCTTTTCTCTTTCTCCTTCTTGTGGTGATTATCATGGTAATGATACCATCCTGATTAAGTCCATCAGAAAAATCTGACATCTGTGGTCTCTCCAGTTCTTTTCCTGAATAAACTAAATGAAAGACAAACAAAAAAACCACCAACTCACTTAATTAATGTGGGGTATTAAACACAGTGTCACTCTTGCAATTGGTCTTAGTAAAAGGGTGAGAGCTGAGACAAAAAAGACACATGTCAAAATCCTGTGTTGCCACTGGAAAATCCCATTTTCACCACCCTTTTCGATCCTGCTGGAGGCATATACAGTGAAAAAACGGTGTATGTTTCTAATTGAATAAAACCGTAAAATAAAACTATTGATCTTCTTTATCTGTGTATGATGATGATGATGATGATGGACATATAGATTTATACATATTTCTCAATATGATACAATTTATCCCAACCCATAATACCTTGTGTGCTCTCACAAGCAATCTCTTCATTTGAGCTGTTTTTGTTCCTACTGTAATTAAAATCTAGTGAAGAGTCTTGGAGAATCCTGGAATGTAAAAACAACATTTCCCTAAAAGTCCTTAAATACAATTGCATTTTTTAACAAAGCTCACACATAATCACTATTCACTATAATGGAAATAAAATACCCTCTGTATTCTGAACTGTACAAAGCGCAGGCATTATGACCAACACCTACTGTACCACAATCATCACTTCTTTAGAGAAAATTGAAAGGCACCCTGTGGCCAGAAATGCTCTCCCCTCCCCCCTCACCATTTTGATCTAAGATGGGGACTGACATTCTTCAGTAAAAGCTCTTGGCTTTTCATACATAAAGAACCCCTACTGGAGCAGCCTTGACTCTTTGGACTTTGGATCTAGTGGGTACATGATGAATTCTCTGAGCTACTTTTATTTTATTTTCCCAACATAAAAAAAGAAAAAGTGAAATTGAAAATAAGCAGAAGAAGCAGTGTATTGTAAAAGGTCTGAAGTGAAAAGACTGCCAAAAGAATCAGGAATGTTAATGGAACCTTCATTTTATTCAAAGCAAGCAGCGGCCATTCACCAGGGCCATCTGTGAGATTTTGCTTCTTCTCTTAGTTTGTTTGCACTGACTAGCCCGGTAGTCAGAGACTTTTAATGGACTCCATCTGTTACAAATGTGTGTTGCTTTGTCTAAGGTTTGTCTACCATTATTAGCAGAATAATTGATATTTGATAATTTTGTGAGTTTTAAGAATTGATTAATCATTTGAATAGTACTACATTCAAATACCAAAATTGCAGCTTTCTCAAAGTAAGGATTTTCTAACTCTGTTCTATGTTGATATACAGTTGATACCAAATTCATGAATGCTTTTTACAAACGTCTTAAGGCCAGTAGTGCTGAGCTGTGTTGTTTATCAAACACGGTGGTAGAAGGTTTGAATGTGTTATTTTTTATTTAGTTTTCTGTGCACTTCTACAGTGCATAATGTAGCTCTGTGCTCGTAGATTGGGGTTTGGACTGGCATCTGTAGCATACAGACAAACCCACACATTTGAGTGAGTTCATCCCTGTTGCTTGTTTCTCCATACATATGAATCCTTTGTAATCCTTTGTTTTCATTTTTCTCCTCCTCCATCTCTCTTTCGCCCTTTTGTCTCTGTGTTTCATTAGGAGATGGCTAAGATATTGAATCACCCGCGTGTCTATGCCTTCCTTCATGTTCCTGTACAGTCGGCCTCAGACAGTGTCCTGATGGGCATGAAGAGAGAGTATTGCATTGATGACTTCAAAAGAGTGGCGGACTTCCTCGGAGAGAGGTAAGGCAGGATGTGGACTCCTTTTGAACTCATGATGGTGCATTTTTGACTCTGTGCCATGGTCACTTGTGTCAGCCGTGTAATGTTTGCACATTTTAGTGGGTACTTGAAGTGAGTGAAGACATTTCACAGGTGCGGCTTGTATTGCTCACTCATTTGACTCATCATATTTTTTACTAAACATGGTCAAGATTGAGTTGAGATTGAAACTTTCTTCCAGCTGGGTGTCTGAGCAAATCAGGGGTTAAAAATGTGCAGCACAGCATTTGAAACATTCAGCAACACCTTCTGTAAATCTGGGTGAAAAAGAAATCTTGTTCAGGTCACTGTACATCTCCCTACAGCTCTCTACGTGTAATGGTTTGCACATTTGAATATATTAATAGTTTATAGAACCATTCATGACATGCAGCCTCAAGTGCTGAAAGAAAAGGTTTGTACTCACATGTATATGTACGTATGTGTTTGTGTGGTGTTTGTGCATCAGTCATTGTGTGAGTCAGTGACTGTTTGATTCACTCAGACACGCTTATAGTAGGTCTCTCTTTCTGTCACATCGCCTCTCTTTCTCCACACACTTCCTCTATCCAATCTCTTCCACCTCTGCTTTATGCTCCCCTTAATTCCACTGACTCTGTGTAGAAACCCAACTGACCTGACACCAGCCATTCACTTGAAATCCAGCTCCATTTTGTCTTTAATGCTACCAAGAAGTCGCTCCAGTTTGCCCGTTCCAGCTCGCCAGCTGAGGGTGAGGACGCTGCTTGGAAGAGGTATAGCCGAGGATGCATGATTGCATCCTTTGCAAAGTCTGTTAGGGATTGACACACCCCCTTCTTGGTTGTCAGGAATGCATAGTTCCCACATTCACACCTGGAATCTGCCCAGTACAACCACAGACTGATCTGTGGCCACTGAGCACTGAGCAGCACCACTGGAGTGGTTTAGGACTAAGGGCCTTGCTCAAGGGCACCGTTAATGACGGTGGGGCAAGCAGTGCTTTGTCACCTGTCCCACCCAGATTGAATCCTGCTGGTTCAAGGATTGACTGGTGACCTCTTGATTCTCTAACCTTTAGGCCACCACTATGCCAGATGCTAATATTTGTGTGTGGTTGTTTGTACACTGCAGTGCTTTTTAGATGATTGTTTAGCCTAGAGTAGAGGTCTCTAACGGTGTCTCCTGTTGTTTTTATAGTGCTCACTGGGAATTCAAACACAGTGACTCTGTCCTTAACACACTGACAAATGATCATGATCACCACACACAGGGAGTCGCATCATAAGATCTCGTTTACATAAACTGTCTGGCTGATCTTTGTGAGTCTTTGTTTATATGTCTGTGGTTACTCAGTTTCTGGCTTCAGACACACGCGGGCATTGTCTGGTGTGTGAAATTAGTACCAGTACCCATCCAGTTGTCTGACCCACTTGGCTGCTGCAGGACTATCTGGGGTGCTGTTTGGGACCTGGGAGTAAAGCCAAAAAAACAAATCAATTGTGTGTAGGTTTGTGTATCTGTGTGTGCCTGTGTGCCTTTATGTGAGAGAGAAAGAGTAAGAGTGTACGAGTGTGTACAGTATGTGTGAAATTTACAAATGTAGTCTTGCTCAGCCACAGGTTACATTGGCAGCCTGTTTATAATTACTGTTTTATCTGTTCTTTTTCATATGCCCTCTTTGTGTATTTGTTTTACTGAATCACTGGTGCTGTCTGTGAGAGAGAGATGGAGGGATAGTGAATCAGCCTCACAGGTGACTATTAATGTGGGTTCTCACAGATAGCCCTTAGTGGAACCATGTAAGTTCACTTCAAAGAATAAGACAGACAGGAACCTTGTGCAGCAGTGATCAGGGCTGCCACACACACACACAGCGGGAAACTGTAGTATTTGTCCTTACCAACACTGCAGAGGTCATGAGGGGTCAGATGCTGGTGGCTGAGAATCTTGAACTCCATCGTGAACTTCAGGCAATGTTCAAAGAACGCACATGAAATTTACAGTACCTCCAATAATTAGGTGTACAGTGAGATCAGAGGCTGTTCTTCAGTAGATGAACTCTGGGAATTTATGGCTGGTGATACTTGACACTGCAGTCTTTCTGAGGAAAATGTAGTAGTTTAAGTCATAAACAAAGAATCTCATGAAGCAGTAAATATTACCATCACAAAAAGCTACGTATGCTCCACCTAAACATCTGGATGATATTACAGCGTGAAAAATCACCAGGCATTTCCCTAAAAGTTTCCAGCAGGGGAAAATAAAACAAATCTAAACTGCAATGACCCAAATATACAGCAAATGTATATTTGTACGGTAATTTACAGTGAAATGACCCAAACACTGCACTTTAGGAAGAAATTAGAAGCATTCTAATGTTGATGGCCATATAACAGCTTGTTTTAATAGTTTGGTTTCACACTTAAACATGTATTGAGTTGCCACTAGAAGCTTATTCATAGTTACCCTTTTTGAAACACATGTAGATGAATTGTTCCATACTAGATTTACAATATTATTTTCATATTATGTCTAATTTATTGTTCTCTGCTTTAATATCACACCTAATTCACACTGCACATGTTGATCCAAAGTGCTTTTCCACTGAAGTCGTCCACATGCGCCGAGAAAAACTGGATTAAATATACTCTCCTTTGAATTACATAATAACTAATTTCTCCGAGTTGGTATAACTGAATTGTTTTGTGCCATGCATAATTTGAACAATCAGTAGAATAATTATTTCATTAAAATTGTTAATTTGTCTTTGTCTGCCAGCACAGACCTTATTTTTTCGCTCATTTCTGTTTCCTTTTATCAGTTACAATCACATAATGAATGACTGTCTTTATGCAATGATACATGGAGAAAATCCTGTTACAGTGGGATGAGGCTGTTACAGAGAGAGCGAATATGGTCAGAGGATGTTCCGCAGTCGTTTCATAGTTTGCCATAATATCTGGGCTGATTTTCCTTGAGCTGCTCTTGAGGATTAACTGTGTTTGAACCACAGGGGCCTAAAATGAAAGAGAGAACTTACATTTGTGGGTTAGGGATTGTGTGCAGAGAAGCAGAATCAGGCAGTGTTGAACCTTAAGGTTAGTTAGGTTGAGCAGAAAGAAAGGGGTGTGAGCCATCATGTTTTCTGAAAGGGATTGATGATGGGGGAGGACTAGGTGTTGAGCAGTCCTCAGACCTTCTGTGGTTTACCTGAGGGGGTAGGTTGGTTTCCTTAAAGGTTACATGTTCCTGACCTCTGCAAACCAATCTCAAACCATAGAGGTTTGTTTCCTAAGGAGAAACGCTCACTTACATGCCTGTCAGCTGTACATGAAGTATAGAGAAGGAAGAAGGAAAGCAGTAGTAATGTTTCCAGGCCAAAACTGGCAGCAACAGCTATGGAGTATTTATACTTGTGGTTACACAGAAGTGAGGTTTTGAATAACATGTGATTAGTCTATGTGATTTCAGCAGTTGACTGGTACAATGACCCCTGACCTCTGACATGACCTCTGAACATGTAGCACATAGTCAGTCTCCATTTGAGCATTTGGTTACCATTCAGAAATGTTTTTCTCTATCATGTCACTAGTTTGTTTAAGCCATTAAGATATGAAAAATATTTAAAAGTGCTTTCAAGGGTCGTGTTCATCTCACATGCACTATACTGCTATGAAATGAAGTCACTCTGACCTGCACACAAACCCACTCTTCCTTCAAATCACTAAAACAGTAGAACATTCTCTATTCTGGCCTCTCTTTTAACATTTCAACTTGTTTAGCACGTAAAACCATTTTATTCCTGCACCTGATTTCATTTGATGATCTACAGTTACTTGGCAGCTTTTATTAACATTGTCTTGATTGTTACAGAAAAAGACTATTACATGAAAAGTGTCTCTTTTCTCCTGCACACGAGGAAGTTTATTCTAAAACTTTTTCGTACGTGCAGTACACACAAAAGGCAACAAAGACAGGGGGGGTCTCTGGACGTTTCAGCACATTATTAGTCCAGCTTTAAAGGTGCCAGCTATTATCTATAAAGTGAAGAGAACATTTTAGCACTTCACACATTTTTAATTACACAGTTGCCCAGAACAGAGCCAATAATCATACATTATTTTCACAAGTTGCTGAGTTCAAATCTGGCTATTGACTATTCTTTTCCATGCACGTCACCCCTAAATGAGGGGTGGGTGCAGTGGTTAGCATTGTTGCCTCACAGCAGGTTCCAGGTTCAAGCCCAGGGTGACCCGGGGCCTTTCTGTGCAGAGTTTGCATCTTCTCCCTGTACCTACGTGGGTTCTCCTCGGGTACTCCGGCTTCCTCCCACAGTCCAAAGACATGCGACTTGGGTTAAATGGCATGCATGTGAGTCTGTGTGGTTGGTTGTTTCTAAGGGCAAACACCCTCCAGAGGTCTCAATTAATCCTGTGCATTGCTGACACTGTTAAGTTAGAGTTTCTTCAGTGGAACAGGTTTCACACAGACATACCTTTGTTACTACTGTGGGGACATATGTTGTGTCTATGTTTGTATTTTATGGCAGTTTTATCAGCTCAAGGTAGAGATAAAGTGGACGACACATCCACTGGCAGACCACAGTCAGTTTCACCATAAGCACAGCAATTATAACACTCCACCTGCTCACGATGTATTGTTCCCTCTAATAATATATTCCCCCCCCCCAAAACATTGAGCCCAGTAACACCCAGCCGTGCATCTGTGGTCACCAAAACTGCAAAACTCTGTTGAACATGCCCATATTCACCTTGGAGTGTATATATGATTAAATGATTTTGATTTCACTTAGAATGACTTCTGGCTTTTTATTCGATGCGAACACAAAACTTAAAAACATTCTTCCTTCAGCATAGTTCAGTGTTAGTAGCCCATCAGAATAACTTTATTATATCTTCCTTGGATTCATTTTTAAAGTGATCACAACTAGTATGTACAAAGACCTGGACCCAATAAAATGAATAGTAAGGGACACTTTT